TAATTTTAACTTTTAATATTTCTGTAGATGGTAAATCATCCCGTGACTCCATAGCCGTACGAAAAATTGTAAAGTATTCGGGTAAACTGTACAATAATAAGATGGCAAGCAGTTCATCAATAACTACGAGACCAATTTCTTTAAATTTTTTGACAGCATCGAAAATCTGCTATGTGTTTATGCAAGTCATCTTATTCTTGCATACGAGTCAAGACAAGTTTCTTTAATAAAGATGCTTTCCGTGTCGGTCCACTAGACTGGTACATTGATTTTAATTTGTCCCATATAGATTTAGAAGTATCTAATCCATCCAGTGCTATTAACTCGCTCGGGCGAACAGCTAACAAAATGTCCGACTCGGCTTTACCGTCCATTTTACACCACTCGGCAAACTTGGCGTCAGTTTTCGCAGGCTTCGGTATCGCGCCCGACACATAATCCCACAGGTCATTTTTCTTCAAAATAGCCCGCATATGGATCGTCCATGTATCATAGTTATCGCCAGTAAGTTGGTCGATTTTAACCGAAGCCGCCATAATAAAGTTAATTAATCTTCTTCAATAATGCAAATAAAATAACGATAGGTTATATACATACAATCGGTACGTAACTATATAATACGATCTTCTCGTAAATGTCGTAACTATCTATTCACTTATGACGCCGAACTGTAATATGTATGCACTAATTACGCTTCTTTGTTTAAGACGCATATTCTTTAATAATAAGTTCAACACAGTTTACATGTCACTTTTAGTCTTTTTAACACTATTCTCTGGGCCCATAACCTATTGGGTCAGTGAATCGAAACCAAATGTCGTTAGAACTATGAAAAACTGTATTACTTATAAACACAGGTTATTAGTTGATTTACCTATGAACATTTTTCTTACAATGGCGGACAAATTGCAAACTTAACAACGCTGACAGTTGCCGTACTTCACGATGGTATAGTAACGTACCTAGTTATACATGTATACACATATCTTTAAACGATCTCTTATACTACTTATATTGGCTCACGATCTTCGCGATTATTTCGTCACTACAACAGAATGTGCGTTGAGAATGGGTGAGTTAACCGTCAAATGCCTTTTGTACGCCGATGATCATGACACATACCGTGCTTATTTAGACTTTTTACACAGCGCGGTGCATGATTTAGATACTGACATTTATATAATAGGTGACTTTAATCTGCTTAGTCTAAAGTGGGAAAATAAAGGCATTTTCACTCAACCAATTAAAAATTCTGACATAACTCCCACGCACAGATACTTAATTAACTTTATGTCATCACTTGAAAGTTATCAATTGAATTCGTTGAAAAATAAAACAAATAATATATTAGACTTATGCATCAGTAATAATATAAATAGCAAAACTTCTCCTGTACAATTACCTTTGATTCCACCAGATGGACATCACCCTCCATTCCAGGTAGTTGTATCTTTTGTCGAGGAATTAAAACGCTTGAAAAATAAAAACTATCTTAAATATTGTTACAAACACGCGGACTATGCAAAAATTAATGAAGAAATAGCTTTTGACAGGGTGGATCATAAAATCCTCCTTGAAAAGATAGCCTTTAATGGTATACGAGGAAATCTTTGGAGATGGTTTAAATCTTACATATCGAATAGAACTCAAAAGGTCGTTATTAAGGGATTCGAATCTCCAAGTGTAAATGTAAGCTCAGGTGTACCACAGGGTTCCATTCTTGGCCCTCTACTATTCGTATTATTTATTAACGATATTAATAAATGTTTTGATCACTGTAAGTTTCTTCTATATGCAGACGATTTAAAGATTTACAAGATTATTAACACTTTAGACGATCATGTTAAACTCCAAAATGACCTGAATCAACTCTCCTTATACTGCAGTGAAAATAAACTTGAACTTAGCATTGATAAATGCAAATCCATAACTTTCACAAGAAAGAGAAATGTTAGTAATTACTTTTATTCACTCTGCGGAATAACCTTAAGCAAGGAAAACACTATTAAAGATCTTGGAATCACACTTGATAGTAAACTACATTTCGATGTACATATAGAAAACATTATTAATAAAGCATTTAGAATGTATGGGTTCGTCATTAGATCAGGTGTTATGTTTAAACAAACTTCTACATTCTTATATTTATTTAAATCATTGATACGTTGTCAGCTAGAATACGCTGTATCAATATGGAATCCACTTTATGAAAAATACAATTGTATGCTTGAAAAGATACAAAAGAAATATCTTCGATACATACATTTTAAATTCCACCGCAATCGATTGTCGTATAATTTGTTACTAAAGACATACAATTTAATTGATCTTAAATCTAGACGCACACAACTTGAAGTAATGTTATTACATGATCTTACTCATAATAGATATGACTCTATAGAAATATCAAACAAACTTTGTTATAGCGTACCTCCTCGATCATTAATGAGGTCTACACGTCCGCATAGATTGTTTGCAACCTTATCCTGCCGAACAAATGCGGGCATTCGTTCTCCACTTCACCGTATGGCCAAAACATACAATAATATTTTCAATGATATCGATATTATTGCATTACGACATACATATTTCAAGAAATCAGTCATTGGCTTAGTAACACATAAAAAATGATTTTATTTTCTTCCTGTATATTGCATACCTGGTTGTAGATTCATGTACCAGCCAAACACGTCCCTACACACCTACCTCCACTCTTACACACACACACAACCACACACATATACACACACAGGCGCGCGCACGCACACGCACACGCGCACATGCACACACACACACGCACGCACGCACACACACGCACGCACACGCATGCACACACATAACACATATACACACATGTACCTATTAATAATGTTTATTAGTTACTTTATGATTTCTTAACTAGTTAACTAACACTTGTTATAATGTAAGATGAGCTCCACTTTAACACTAGATTATATGTATAATGAGACCAGCGCTGTTGGATTCATAATGATAATTACGTTTCTTTGTTTTGATATTTTATATATATTTAATTGTGAATCTGTTTGTGGTACTTTAAATAAATGAAAAAAAAAAAATTATCAAGTTATATTTGCATCGTCGGCGGCCGAGTTGCAAATGATGCTTACTTTAATGAACTGGTCATTAAAAGAAAGGGGTATGAAAATGAACGCAATTAAGACGAAAACGATGGTTTTTGAAAGAGAAGAAAGTAAAACGTTATGTGAAATAAGAGTAGAAGGGGTTTTGATTGAGCAAGTGGATGAGTTTGTATATTTGGGATGTTTATTTAGCAGGGATGGTAGATATGATAATGATATAGAACGACGAGCGAACGCAGGAAATAGAGTGAATAGGGCTCTATACGCTATTATGAGGAGTCAGAATGTGTCAAAGAAGGCATGTATGGCAATTCATAATGCTGTGTTAGTCCCTACTTTAATGTACGGTAGTGAAAGTTGGGTCTGGCAGAAGAAGCAAGAGAGTTGAATAAATGCTGTAGAAATGCGGTCATTAAGGATTATGCTTGGGCTGAATCTGAATGACAGGGTAAAAAATAGAATCACAAGAGAAAAGTGTGGTTTGCAAGATGAATTTGTGACCAGGATTAAAAAAGAAATGCTTCGGTGGTTTGGTCATGTAGAAAGAATGAAGGAGGAAATAGTGACAATGCAAATTTATGTTTCAGAAGTGAACGACAGAGTCGGGATGGGACGTCCTAGACGAAGATTTATCGACCAAAGCGGCGATACATTAAAATGGGCCAGATTAGGAGTACCCTTAACCGACAAGCGTATATGCGTAGATATATGGATGTAAAGGAGGCGAGAGAGGTGGTCAGGATTGCGCCAAATGGCAGTCCATAGTCTCTGCCTACCCCTCTGGGTGACAGGCGTGAGTGTTTGTGTATACAATAATATTATATAATGTAAATTATTGTAAAAAATCTAGATCTTCATACTGTCACAGTTCGTGAATTGTTTTTCCAATTGCACGGACTTATTTAGAAGAAGGCTCCATATAAATAGTAAAAAAAATTGCCCAGTTAAACAAATTAAACCAAATATCCTATCTATGTAAAACTGAAACTCTTATATTTATGTGTTTATTTATTTATGTTTTATTGTTATCATCTTAAATAAAAGGGCTACATAGGGAGGACTTAATGCAATTTGGCATTATTTGTCATTCAGCCCCGGTTGTGATAAAATATAATAATAGGCGCAAAAAAGAAAATAAATGGAATAACACAACAATAATAATAATTACGACAGTTAACGAAAAAATATAAACACACAAGTATGTGTGTTTATATCTATTCTACTCCATCATAAATTTATATGATTTTACACCTTTCTCTAGATTTAATAAAACAGTTTAAATTTTTAAAGATTTTGCCTCCAAATCCAAACTTTATTTTTTGAAAAATAATTTTAGATTAAAAAAAAACTTCCAGCAAGAAAATCATCATTTAATGGCGGCGTAAAAGAATCCATTACCCCATATCATCCCGAGGGTGTCGTAAGAGGTGACAAAAGAAGCTGAAATATATAGCCAGTAACGTGTCCCTTTTAACGACTCAAAATAATAGAAAACTGTGGTTGCCCATTCGCCTGCCAATCTTGCGTTGAAGTTGCCAACATTTTAATGGAACAGAAAGACAGTTGAAGGCAACTTATTCCATGTGCACATGACGAACGACGCTCGCTGTTATTTCACATTACGCAAGAAACCTTAGTTCGATCCCCACGATATTGTGCATGCAATTATAAATGCTGATTTACCAGCTGCTTGGCGGTGAAGCAAATTATCGTGATTAAACCTCATCTAATGTGGGATAAATTAAAAAATATTTTGAATACATGTAAAGTCCGCCAACACGCATTGGGGCAGAGCGATGGACGCTTCTGCTGCAGCATGTTTACTTTTATACCACGTTTACTTTTAAACCTTCAGAAAAAGTAGCAACCAAGGGTAAAAGACTGGGCTAATATACTTACTTAAAACTGCGCATAGTATTTGATTAAATTTGCTTCCTTCAGGAAGAAAGGACTGAAAATTCTTCATTTCTATAACGTCACAATTAACAATTTATTGGTTTTATCAACACGATTTTTTTATTTTACTTAGATTTATCACAGTAATTTACCATATTGGAAAGAAATTTTAAAATTAAAATTTGTTGGTTGCTCAAGAAAAGCATATACACGCGTTTAGCATCTTCCACGGACTGAATGAATACTCGACAACGACTCACTTTTGTTCAGGCAATTAATTGCCACTATAACTATAAATCGAGTACATGAGTATGTGATTCGTGATTTATTAATAGCTTAAATTATATGCAAATAATATAAGCTCAGCTCTAGCTCTAGCTAGCTAGCTCAGATGGTTAGCGCTCGCTGTAAGCTTCACAGTACTCGAACAACCCGGGTTCGATCCCCGCCGACACCAATGAAATCGTTAATTGCAATTTTAAGTTCTGATTTACCACGTGCTCGGCGGTAAAGGAAAACATTGTGAGGAAACCTTCATGTTTGAAAAATAAAAAAAAATTTTTTGAATACATGTGAAGTTCGCCAACACGCATTGGGGCAGCGCGGCGGACATTTTTCCTTGCCCGGGCCTGGAGGCCTGTGCCCAGCAGTGGGACGTAAATAGGCTGCAACTTTTACTATAAAAATTAGTTTAACAAACCATATCATAAAGGGGTATACCCGCATATATTTAGCGGGTATCCGCTCACCTCTGCGTCGAATAATTGACATCTATAATAATGACTTTGTTGACTCTGATATATTCCATCTTTCTGAGTTTTAATTCAAGTTTATTATAAACATTTTTTTTACTGTTCTCTTTCGGTATGTTGCTATTGAGATTTAGATACATACTTTTTATTATACACCACTTAAAACATAGATAGTGTATGGAATAAAATGTACATTTACAATTAAGTACAAATTTTAATATATAATACTATAATAACGTTAAACGTAGGTGTTCGCATCTTATTGCTGGTGACTTTACCTAACTACGTACTCAAGATCAGATGTTGTTGCTCAGCTTCTAATCGCGTCCGATAATATATTTTTATGTTCACATTTGTTAATATGTTGATAGCGTTAAAAAAGTAAGTAAATTGTTGTGTTTTGAATGGAAACGGAGACCCTTTTTACTGAAAACGAGGCATTCCGTCTTAATCCTCACGGGTGATAACACATATGTATTTTGATTCTTTATCAAAGATAGATGTAGATGTCTATGGGTCTCAGCAACCACTTACCATCAGGTGGACTGTGTCCTCGTTTGTCACCCTATCTTATAAAAAAACTGTATTTGACTACATATTTATTCTAATTATTACATTAAGCTAACATCATTTTTTCTAACATTATACTATGTAGTTGTATGCTATTCCTAATAAAGAGAAAAAATAACCATTGTAGGGCCCATCTATGGAAAGTACTTATAGATCAGAATGAAAATAAAGATTACTTTTATATAAAAAATGGGTATGATTGTAAATATCGTTTTTATGTCATCGCAGAAAAAAATGTTTTTTTTTTATTTCTGCATGTTCTTTAAAAGCACGGATCATGTACTTATTTTTAATAAATTTTGTAAAATACAGATACATACACACACAAAATCACTTTACTTTATCAAAAACAGAAACATAAATATAATTGTTGAAATATATATATTTTAAATTAAAAAAATATTTACATTATAAATAATGCTTATTGTAAGTCACTCTTTTGTTTAATTACCACTGGTTCCAAAAAAGCCTCTGTCCTGAGAAGAACCAGCATGAAACCGGCGGGCGGGACTTTTTTTTAAACAACAGCTTACAATCATGTATGTTACACAATTAACCACACAAAACAAATTAGAAATAGAAATAGCTTGGTAGCGATCACCTCATTCCCAGGAGTTGTTATAATCCATAAGTTCCTTAACATTATAATAACCGATTTATACAAACTTTGTTTAATAAGGTTATTGAACTTTGAGCAGGTCTAATTTTGTATATTTTCTGGGATTTTGTTGTAAAAGCGTATACTAAGAATACCCCAAGAATGTAACTGGAACTACTGTCTTGTTTTTATAACTTATTTTTGTATAACTACCTTTATTTTTGTATACGTACATTACATTTTGATAAATGTATTGAGTGGCCAAAGTTAAAATATTAATTATCTTAAATTTTGTCGGAGCGACTCTTTAAGGTTTTAAATCATAGATTGCTCTTATGACTCTCTTCTGTAAAACAAATATAATTCCAATGTCAGTCACGTACGAGTAACGCAACTCGAATTGGTGGAACGAAGCTGTGTCAGTTTGTTACAAAGTAAGTATTTTTATATTTGTTTTTCCATCCAACACAATTATTACTAAACTTATAAGGTATTTATATATTTTTGGTTTCAGTATAGACAATGTTAATAAAATAATATCACACTAACTTTATAACAATTATACTTAATCGATTTATTGATATTACATAATATTGCTTAAACAAAATCGCTTCCATCACGATGTTTTTCTTTCAAAATAATGCCACACTGACGATTTTTATTTTGTTGTTTCATTGTTATCACTCATACTTTACACATACAAGTATATTAAAATCACCTTTTATGTTATGCACTACTTATACGAAGTAACCAAAAAATTAACAACACAATCATGATATTATAAATCCAACTAAGTTCATATTTGTTTACAACATGGCAGATGCAAGTTTGAATTTTGATGTAACAAGTGACGTCACCCGCCGTGCCTTACAATATGTCAATTAGTTGATTAGATGATAGAATTAGTGAATTAGTGAACTGACATCTATCTAGCGCTCTCCGAATCCACATGGTGTGCCGAGTTGACTCGGTAACTCGAGTGCAAGCGGACTTAAGTTAAATTTATTTTCGCTCGAGTACAGAGTTACACAAAATCACTTGATTGAATCGAGTAAAAACAGAGTTCGAGGTGCATCACTACTGTAAGAATAAAGTTTGTGGTTAATGGCTGTATTATAAACTTTAAAATAATTTTTGGTAGCAAAATTAGTTAATAGCAAAAGAGTTTGTACACGCCCCTAGCTGCCCCAACAAAAGCCCGACCATACAGGGGCCCATACAGCTATAAATTCGACGAACAACTAAGGGTGGGGCCCAACGGCCTATGGAGACTTATTATTCTACACAATAGATATAAGGCTAGGTAATCAATAAGAACGTACCTGGTTCAGAAGCGAAGACTGGCTACAAGGCTCGGTCAGGCGGTAGGTGTAGTGTATGTAAGTGGTGTTTAGTGGTGTGTAAAATTTGAAAACTGACTTAACCCTTTTAAGCGGCAGGAGCCCTGACTCCGGTACCTTCACTCGGTGTGGTATCCTCCAGCGGCGTCACCTCGATGTCACTCAAAGTCTATCAACTTTATTGTACACTATTTCAATCCATCAACTTTATTGTACATTTATTGTATTGCGGTGCATACGAAATCGCAACCAACTTCAGAAAAGGCTACGTAATGACCCTCACAATGAAATTCTTTGCATTACTTACCGACGCTACCGAAATTACTGTAACAACTTAATAAAAAGACTAAAAAGAAAATATGACAGGGACACCATTACAAAATCTTTAAATAATAATAAATTGCTTTGGAATAATATTAAAAACATTATATACTCGAAAGGAAAACATAACACTAGTTCTAAACTGTTTAATTTAAGGTCCTCGCCCTCTGAATCGGCTAACTTTATTAATGACTATTTCGCCAATATAGGATTACAACTTGCAAATAACATTCAACACGATACAAGAACATCTAAAACACTTATAGAAAATAAACCGACACAACCAAATTCTTTTGTACTACTGCATACTCATGTTGATGAAGTTCGTAGCACTATCCTCCATCTAAAATCAAACAGCGCCCCAGGATGGGATAATATTCCAAATAAATTTCTAATGATGGCTGTTGATGCCTTGGCTCCCATTATCACCTACCTTGTAAATCTTTGCTTCTACAAAGGTGTGTTTCCTGCACCGTTGAAACAATCAATTATAACACCCGTATACAAGGGTGGGGACGGTGAAGATATTAGCAATTATAGGCCGATCTCGGTTCTGCCAGCAATATCTAAAATCTTAGAGAAACTACTTAATACTAGACTACTACATTACTTAAATAAATTTAACAAATTATCATCTTCACAATTTGGTTTCAGGCGGGGAAAATCGACAGAAGATGCAATCACGGAGTTAAGCTCTTTTGTAACTAGGCAACTTGACAACAGTAAAAAGTGTCTGTCGGTTTTCCTCGATCTGAAAATAGCTTTTGATACTGTGTCCATCCCCATCCTTGTGCATAAACTTGAAGATATGGGAGTAAGGGGGACTCCGCTTGCCCTTTTTCAGAGTTACTTAACGGACAGGAGACAAAGAGTAAAACTAAATGGTTGCACTAGTGAAGCTGTTGAAGTGACGTATGGCGTACCGCAGGGCAGCTTTTTAGGACCTACCCTCTTTCTCATCTACATCAACGACCTATGTAGCATGAGGATCCATAACGCCAGAGTTTTGTCATACGCTGATGATACGGCTGTAGTATTTGCCGGTGATTCTTGGGAGGTGGTCAAAACTAGTGCTGAGGCTGGTCTGTTGCGAATCGCTCAGTGGCTGAACCACAACCTCCTGACCCTAAATACTTCTAAAACCAACTATATATGTTTTAGTACTAACAACAACTCGCAACCTCAGGCCGACTTCAGTTTAAAAATTCATGAATGTACAACGGATACTAATAAAAACACCTGTAACTGCCCTAGGATCGATAAGGTAGTTCAGACAAAATATCTGGGAGTAATTGTAGACCAAAGACTATCATGGTACCCACACCTTGATCATGTCATCAATAGAATGAGGAAACTAACTTGGATTTTCAAAACCCTCAGACATGTAATGCTGGGCAAATCGGATGAGGACTCACCAAATTATCTCCTCAATCAAATCTACATTGCTCTTGCTCAATCCGTCTTGGCCTACTGTATTCCTGTCTGGGGTGGTGCAGCAAAAACTCGATTTCTGGAGTTAGAGAGGGCGCAGCGTTCTCTTATTAAAGTTATGTACTTTAAGAAGAGACGCTTTTCTACCGATTTTCTATTTCGTATCAGCGGTTTACTCTCTGTCAGGAAGTTGTATATATTCTGTACAACCCTCAAAACTCAC